TCTCATGTGTCATTTGGCAAGCCAAGCTCCACAATGAAACTCTTTTACACGCAAACAACAGGCAGCTCTTCAACATGGCTGTGGCAAGACAACTGGTTGTCCAGCAGATCATACGGTGCTCAACTGTCTCTACACTCAATCTACCAATCAAACAGAATACTAAGACAGTGCTCCAGTCTCTGAGACCTACTCGAGTGTCGTTTGTTCGAATCCAAAGTCAAAGGAAAAGGTCCAAGCCAAATGACGAATCTCCTAGGTCTCAAAAGAAAAAGACACGTGTATCATGCCTGGCCTAAAAGGATCGGAAGACTTTTAGTCTCGATGCCAGAAGTGATTGTCACATTTGTAAAGACCATTCAGCTCTTCTCTGCATTTTGTCTGTTTTGAATAACAGCATTTTCTTTTAAATCTTTCATTCTTTGTGTAGGTGCAAGAACCACAGGTGGTGCAGCTATCACACAGCCCACATTTTGACACCAGCTTGTCTCCTTATTTCTGTTCATGTTTCAAGTTTCTTTTGAAAAGCTGTTTCCATTTATTTCATTTCTGTATAACTTTTTTATGATACATGTTTGACACTTTTAAGATGGGATTGTTTCACACATTAACGTGCCTGATCCTTCTCTCTATAAAGTCTATAGAAAGTGTACGGGTGTGAACCACTCAGCCAGTATTTCCCACACAAAAAAAGTGTACGGGTGGACAACACCCATCCGGCAGGAATTCGCATAAACGTTTTTGAACGGTAGTCGTCTCCCACACATTTATCATGTGAACATTTCTGATAGATCACAGCGTTAAATACATCACATTTGAGGATTACATAGAAGCAAAAGTGTGTGGATCGACAACATTCGGAGTTATGTCCTTATAAAATGGTCAGGTGGGTGTATTACAACCCGCAGGTGGGGAAAGGGTTTTATTGTTATTATCATTATAGAAATTACTATCATTATCATTACTATGGGGGGCTCTCGTGGCCAAGAGTAAAGGTGTTCCTCTCTCATTCAATAGGTCCCTGGTTCGAATCCGGATAGCGAAGGGAATTTTTTTTCTATTAAAGTGTCTCTTTCACGCATTATTATTATTATTATTATTATTATTTTTTTTTTTAATATATTTTTTTTATTTTTTAAATTTTTATTATTATTATTATTATTATTTTTATTATTATTATTATTATTATTATTATTATTATTATTATTATTATTATTATTATTAATATTATTATTATTATTATTATTATTATTATTATTACTACTATTATTATTAGACCTATTAGTATTAGTAGTATCATCATCATCATCATCATCATCATCATCATCATCATCATCATCATCATCATCATCATCATCATCATCATCATTGTAGGTAGCAGGGAATAAAAAAAGGGGTTGAGACTTAGTAGATTTTTCAAATTTAATACAGGTTCAACATTTCGCCCTGTAAAGGGCTTCGTCATGAACACGATACCAAAAAAAACCCCAACTCGACTCAAGGCCAAGAACAAGATCATCATCATCATCATCATCTTTATTATTATTATCATCAATATCACTATTATTATTGTCATCAATATCATTATTATTAGTAATCCAACACGCTAGCGATACTGGTAATTTCAGGAAAATTTTACGAAAAAATCAGAGTTGCTATTTGGCCAAATAGCAAATAAAGTGGCACCTCTAAAGTCTGCGACAGGTGAACAGCTGACAGACAAGAAGAAGCAAATGGAAAGATGGATGAAACATTATTCAGATTTATACTCAGAGGAGCGTTATGTTGATAGACAGCTACATGAGGCCATTCCCCTGCTCTCGGAAATGTCAGAACTTGATACAACACCAACAGAAGACGAACTCTCTTCCGCAATCGATGAACTCGCTTGCGGAAAAGCAGCAGGAAATGACAAGATACCTATTAAAGTGCTGAAAAAGAACAAAGAGAACATACATTATCTCTACAAGCTACTAACGACTTACTTGTTGGCTGAAAGCAGAAATTCCTCATGGCATGAGAGATGCCAAAATCACCACTCTGTCGAAACAGAGAAGGGGGGTGGGCAAATGAGATTGCAACAGCTACAGAGGTATCTCACTGCTACGCATCACTGGAAAAGATTTCGCTACTATAACCCTGAAGCAACTTCAGAAACTAGCAGAAAGAGTCCTACCAGAGAGCCACTGCGGTTTCAGATCAAACTGATCAACAATGGACATGATCTTTTCTATTCGTCAGCTACAAGAAAAAAACCAGGGACCAACAACTGCCATAACATACTACGTTCGTCGATCTGACAAAGGCTTTTGATACAGTCAGTAGATCAGGACTGTACTTGGTGCTTGGAAAATTGGCTGTCCCCCAATACTGCTACAGCTCATCATCTCATTCCACGAAGATATGAAAGCCACCGATCAGTTTGACGGTTCAACATCAAACAGCTTCAACATCAATAGCGGAGTAAAGCAAGGTTGTGTCTTAGCACCAACCCTTTTTAGAACTTGTTTTGCTGTCTTACTAAAACACGTATTCAAAGAGTAACCTGGGGATGTCTTCCTCCACTTGAAAACTGATGGGTCGCTCTTCAATCGTGCTCGACTCAAGGCCAAGACCAAGATCAACAAAACAACAGTACGAGACCTTCTCTTCGCCGATGATACTGGTCTTGTTGCTCACAGTGAATCAACCCTACAGACAATGATGGACCGCCTATCAACAGCACGCAAGTTCTTTAGCTTGGTCACCAGTGTTAAGAAAACAGTCATCCTAACCAAAGAAGGTGCAGAGCAGAGCCATATATGGCTGAACGACAAGGAACCTGAGACAGCGGACAAGTTCTGTTACTTGGGGTCTACCATCACCTCTACTACATCACTTGACGATGAGAGCAACATCAGGATAGGGAAAGCAGTAACAACATTTGGAAGGCTGACAAAACGAGCATGGGAAAACAAAAAAAAAGATTAACAATTAAAACAAAGATCAAGATTTACAAAGCATGTGTCCTCTGCACACTCCTTTATGGATAAAAAACATGGACCATGTACAGCAGGCAAGAAAAGCGCCTCGACATTTTCAATCTCATATGCTGCTGCAAGATCTTGGGCATTTCGTGGAGAGACAAAGTCACCAATGTTGAAGTGTTGGCACGGGCAAACCTCCAGAGTATGACAACTATCCTGTGTTTAAAAAGATTGGAATGGCTGGGCCATGTCAAGAGAATGGACGACAACCGGATTCTGAAGCAACTTCTCTATGGAGAACTTGCTCAGCTTGGAGTAGATGTTAGCATCTGTGAAGAAATAGCAGAGGACAGGAAAACTAGGGGGAAAATGACAAAGGAAAAAACTATAATGCTAAGAAGGGAGCAGCCTTAGAAACAACCAGGCTGAGAAGCGCCAACGACAAAAGGAAAACAGAGGTAATACAGAGCTTCGATCCACGTCACTGACATGCAAACACTGCGACAGAATCTGCGCTTCAAACCAGACTTCAACAAAAATTAAGGGGGAGGGGGGGGGGGGGGGGGGGGCGGGCTACATCTGAAGGCTATCTCGCTTATCACTGGACCGAATTTTACCACATTTCACACATATAACAAGCATAGTAAGGAGTTCTAAAATCTGCTATCAATTTTGAGAAAAAAAAGTTTGTTTCCATGGATACGGCGGTCATATTGGATTTTGTTGACATGTCTTACGTAATGAATACCGCACTTGTCGCTCATGGAAATTGATTGTTTTTTTGCATGCGTGTTAACAAACATTAGATCAAAAAATTTGTCTGTTGTTTTTTTTCTTCAAATTTTCAAGTTTGCAAAAAATCCATGAAAATCCACACTCCAGACACCACCAATAACAATCTATTCCATATATAAAAAATTCAACAGACACATTTTTTGTAGTACATCTTCTCTTCATTCTGTGAAAATTTCATGAAGATTGGATAAAAAATGGTGGAGTTATTCAAAAAAGTATAGAGAAAAGTCGCGTTTTGAGAAAACGACTGATAAACAAAAATAAGATATTGACTTAATGAGGAAATGGCGGTGGCAAACATGCCCGGTATGGAAAAAAATACAGTTTTTTTTGGTTCTTATGCTATGAAATAGTTGTAGGAGTGGCTGAGGAAGCTGAAAATGCCTACTACTAAAATTCCATATATTTGAGCCGAATCTTGAGTTTGGGGGTGTAGCCCCCCCCCCCGCCCCTTAAGGACCACTTGCAAACACTCTGAGTGGTTTTCGTGGATCGACCTGCATGTGGGCGCTCTTGGATGGATCCAGTGGCTTGATGGCGCCGCCTCAGGCGGACAATGACAGAGTGTGACACTGCAAACCTTCTGGCAACTTCTAGGGCTCCAACTTCATCTTGCAGCCATGCCATAGCTCTGGCACCATAAAAGTCTCCCAGGTTTCGTCTTGGTGGCATGTTGATGCGATACCCGATTTTGAGCAAACGGAGGCTTATATTGCAACCAAAGTGAGCACAGTTCGAGACCGTACGTCCGTTTACGACGTGCACCAGAAATTTTAACTCAGGAATGTCCGTGGTGTCGCACACAAGTTGATAAAAAAAAACAGCAAATGTGGCTAGAATTTCCCGAGGATTTGTGAGCAGCACTTGGTGGTTTTGTCCCTTTAGGAAGCTTTGCAGTACGCATTGGTAACCCATTAACACCTTTAGAGCAAAATAATTTGAAATATTCCTTGCCGTCTTTTTTTCAGATTTTTTAAAAATCAAGGCTGTCTGCCAAGGAGGTCCTTAACTTTTGTTGAAGTCTGTATGGAGAATTAGCTATGAAAGAAGCTGCATAAAGACAACATGGAGGCCATCTTAAGCTAAATTGACCGTCTGCATAGAAAAGAGCCATATGCACCGTTATTATTATTATAGTCAATATCATTATAATCATTATTATTATTGTTACTATTATTATTATTGTTGTTGTTGTTGTTGTTGTTATTACTATTATTATCATTATTATTATTTTTAGGAAGACAGAAGAAACTCTTTGGCATTGGAAGGAGAAAGAGAGACAGACGGAGACATTGTCGTCCTCATCATGTCCGCTAATCTGTCTCCCCGGCACATCTCTCGCCTCTTCACCATCGCCTGTGTCTTCTCTCACCTGAGTCCCCGCTACTCCCTGTCACTGGCCGATGGCGTCACAGGACCCCACAAGATTATCCCACAACACTATGCCTTAGCTGGCGAAGACGTCAGTTTTCCCTGTGACGTCACAGGAAACGTCAGCAGTTGGATCTGGACAGGTCCCCACCTCCAAGCCCCGCCCCTCGTCTCCTCCTCCACAAATCAGACGTCATCCTCTAGAGTGACGTATCAACGAGAGTGTGTGGTGTCGTCCAATAACATTTCAAGTCCCTGCTTGGTTTTGAACATACGTCACATCCGGCATGGGGACGCTGGGGTCTACAACTGTCAACAAAAGGATTCCAACCTTGACCTTGTCACTCAAGGTCAACGGCTGGTGGTAGTAGGTCAGTGTACAGTTTATGTAGAACTTTTCTGCACACTTTCACAATACAGTTGATATTGTCAAAAACGTGTTCCCATCGCCGAGGAGAAAAGTGGTTGTCTTAGACGGCCGAACGTCTTACACAGTATAATTATAATTTTATTACATAAATAGCATATGTATGTATTTATATATACACATAAGGGGGAACATGAGAATTAAGTAGTCGTTTGTACAGGTCTTTAAAAAAGTATCCCTAAGAGCAACAAGTACGACTGTACTTGTTATGGAAGTGGTAAAATAATGCATGTCCTGTACGCAAAATCCGAAGTTGACTATTTTAAACCGAACGCTCCAGTACAATGTCTTTGTCTTAACCTCGTTGAGGACGTATATTTTGCTCGTTTGAAGATGCGCTGTTTTTGGGGTACTTTAAAAAAGAAGCAATGAACTTCTTTAGTCATACCGATGTACGGATGTTTCAGTTTCTGTTTCTTTTTCTAAACGTTTACCAACGCAGGCAACTATGAAATTGTGTCCTTGGTAAGAGCACTTTACACGAATTTTACTCACCTCACCCAGGTAAAAATGGGTACACTACCCGACTATAGAAAGCGAAAGATCTTGTCAGGTTGTTAATGCTTGAACGCTTAATAAGCTGCTTGTACTGTATGCTTCCGGCGAAGCCCAGAATGTTTCTGAGTGATGTTGCGTCTGCTAGGGTAATAATAAAAATATAAAGCTCATAGAGCTTGCTGTCAAGCAGGGGTATGCGCTATAAAATTAATGCTATTTACTAATGCTATTTATTATTGTCATTATTATTATTATTATTATTATTATTATTATTATTATTATT